AACCACCAATGCTGAAGAGGCTGAAATTGACCAATTCTATGAAGATATACAACACCTTCTAGAACTGACACCAAAGAAAGATGTTCTTCTCATTATAGGGGATTGGAATGCTATAGTAGGGAATCAAGAGATAAAAAGAACAACATGTAAGTTTGGCCTTGGAGTTCAGAATGAAGCAGGGAAAAGGCTAATAAGACTTTTGTCAAGAGAACAAGCTGGTCATCACAAACACTCTTTTACAACAAAAAAAGAGGCGACTCTATACATGGACATCACCAGATGGGCAATACTGAAATAAGATTGATTATATTCCCTGCAGCCAACAATGGTGAAGCTCTATACAGTCAACAAAAACAAGACCTGGAGCTGACTGCGGCTCTGATCATTAGCTTCTCATAGCAAAATTCAAGCTTAGACTGAAGAGAGTAGGAAAAACCACTGGGCCAGTCAAGTATAATCTAAACCAAATCCCTTATGAATACACAGTGGAAGTAAAGAACAGATTTAAGGAACTCGATTTGGTGGACAGAGTGCCTGAGGAACTATGGACGGAGGCTCATAACATTGTCAAGGAGGCAGCAACAAAAACCATCCCAAAGAAAAGGAAATGCAAAAAAGCAAAGTGGCTGTCCAACGAGGCCTTAGAAATAGCAGAGAAGAGAAGGGGAACAAAATGCAAGGGAGATAGGAAAAGTTCCAGAAAATTGGATGCTGATTTCCAAAGAATAGCAAGGAGAGACAACAGGGCCTTCTTAAATGAACAGTGCAAAGATATAGAGGGGAAAAATAGAAAGGTATCTATAAACCTGTTCAAGAAAATTGGAGATGTTAAAGGAACATTTTGTGCAAAGATGGATGTGACAAAGGACAAAAATGGTAGGGACCTCACAGAAGCAGAAGACATCAAGAAGAGGTGGCAAGAATACACAGAGGAATTATACCAGAAAGATCTAGATGTCCCGGACAACTCAGATAGTGTGGTTGCTGACCCTGAGCCAGACATCCTGGAGAGTGAAGTCAAGTGGGCCTTTGAAAGCTTGTCTAACAACAAGGCCAGTGGAGGTGATGGCATTCCAGTTGAACTATTTAAAATCTTAAAAGATGACGCTGTTTAGGTGCTACACGCAATATGCCAGCAAGTTTGGAAAAGTCAGCAGTGGCCAGAGGATTGGAAAAGATCAGTCTACATCCCAATCCCAAAGAAGGGCATTGCCAAAGAATGCTCCAACTACCGTACAATTGCACTCATCTCACACACTAGCAAGGTTATGCTCAAAATCCTCCAATGCAAGCTTCAGCAGGTTGTGGACCAAGAATTCTCGGAAGTGCAAGCTGGATTTCAAAGGGGCAGAGGGACTAGAGACCAAATTGCTAACATGCGCTGGATTATGGAGAAAGCCAGAAAGTTCCAGAAAAACATCTACTTCTGCTTCATTGACTATGCAAAAGCCTTTGACTGTGTCGACCACAATAAACTATGGCAAGTTCTTAAAGAAATGGGAGTGCCTGACCACCTTATCTATCTCCTGAGAAACCTATACGTGGGACAGGAAGTAACAGTTAGAACTGGATCTGGAACAACTGATTGGTTCAAAATTGGGAAAGGAGTACGACAAGGCTGTATGTTGTCCCCCAGCTTATTTAATTTATATGCAGAATACATCATGTGAAAGGCTGGACTGGAGGAATCCCAAACCGGAATTAAGATTGCTGCAAGAAATATCAACCTCAGATATGCAGATGACACCACTCAGATGACAGAAAGTGAGGAGGAATTAAAGAACCTCTCATTGAGGGTGAAAGAGGAGAGTGCAAAAAATGGTCTAAAACTCAACATCAAAAAAACTAAGATCATAGCCAATGGTCCCATCGCCTGGGGAAGATACAGTATGGAGGCAGATACAGTATGGAGGCAGTGAGAGATTTCACTTTCTTGGGCTCCATGATCACTGCAGATGGTGACAGCAGCCACAAAATTAAAAGATGCCTGCTTCTTGGGAGGAAAGCGATGACAAACCTTGACAGCATCTTAAAAAGTAGAGACATCACTTTGCCTAGTCCACATAGTCAAAGCTATGGTTTTTCCAATTGCGATGTATGGAAGTGAGGGCTGGACCATAAAGAAGGTTGACTGCCCAATAATTGATGCTTTTGAATTGTGGTGCTGGAGGAGACTCGAGAGTCCCCGGGAATGCAAGGAGATCAAACCTATCATATTCTAAAGGAAATCAACCCTGAGTGCTCACTGGAAGGACAGATCCTGAAGCTGAGGCTCCAACACTTTGACCATCTCATGAGAAGAGAAGACTCCCTGGAAAAGACCCTGATGTTGGGAAAGAGTGAAGGCAAGAGGAGAAGGGGACGGCAGAGGATGAGATGGACAGACAGTGTCATTGAAGCGACCAACATGAATTTGACCCAACTCCGGGAGGCAGTGGAAGACAGGAGATCCTGGTGTGGGGTCACGAAGAGTCTGAAACGACTAAACAGCAACAACACCAGAAGATTTTCTGGAATATGTCTTACATAAACTACTAACCTTAGTCATGCAATATCCTGAGAGTTAAAATTCAAAATATCTACACCTCTAGCCCCCTCCCAGATCCACAGGTCGGCCCAGGAACATTCAATACTTTCAGAAATTATTTAAACTTTTTAGTTGATCTTCTAACCTAACTCAACTTAGGTAATAAAATGTAGCAGAGCACTAGGAAAAGAAAAGAAAAATTATAACAATGACAGCATCCTGATGGGAGCTGCAGACCAATAATACTGTACCACCCACTCCACGTGGTACTTACTGACAAGAAAACAACGCCTAGGACAGGAGTGGCAAACCTTTTGGCACTTCGGAGGGATCCCTCCCTGGTTTAGATTTCTGACCGGCAGTTCGATTCCCCACTTGGGCCTCCTTGACAAGATCTGGACTTCATGATCGAAAAGGGTCCCTTCCAGCTCCGCAGTTCTGAGGTGATGTTTTGGACTACAACCCCCTCAGTCCTTGATCATGGTGGGCAACACAGGCTTGGGGGGGGGAGTGGGGATGTTTCTGGGAGTTGTAGTGCAAAACCTCCGGAGCGCCACAGGAACTGACCCAGACCTCGGTCCCTTCACCGACCCGAACCGGGGCTTCCTTCCGAAAGAGAGAGAGACCGCGCACCGCTCCCGGCGTGCCTTTTACTCTCGAGGAAGCCCCCTGCCAGGCTCTGCTGCGCTTGAAGGCGAGCCTCCCTGGCCGGCCTTTCCACGGAAGGAGGCCCGCCAAACCAGCTTCGGTGGGGCTGAGGAGGAGGAAGAGGATGATGATGATGATGATGGCGGTGCCCTTCCTCCCCCTTTCCTCCCCCCCTGCTCCTTCC